GTGTGTGTGTGTGTGTGTGTGTGTGTGTGTGTGTGTGTATATATATATATATATATATTCATTCTAGTAATTAGCTACTACAGTACAAAGCATTAAATACCTACTGTGAGTTTGCATCAAGAGCCTTTCATAAATTATAATATGATTTGCAATCAAAGTATAACTAATTTATTTCTGATTACAGTTTTGTAACTTTTTACCTGAGCCCAGGAAAGCTGTAATTCATCTTATGATGCTCTGTGTGAATTTCAGGTGCCCACAATTTGGCAATGTTTTAATAACTGGAAAGTGTGGAAGAGAACTGCACTTACCTCTGAATTCTCTGACTGAGAAGAAGACTCTGGCAATCACTTTAAATGTAGATGGTCTATTGTAGAAGAAAGTTTTTCTCTGCAGAAAGAAGTTACAACATGTCTGTTTTCTCTTCTAGCTCAGGGAATTTCTCCTTTGGGATCACCGCATTTTACATGTTAATAAATAAAATTTAGCTTCCCCTTTCTTTCTTCTAATATTGGAAGATCTGCCATTGATTCTTAATATTTTGCAGATGGCTTTAATGAGTCATGTATCCCCCCCCCCCCCATTTTTTTTTTTTTTTTTTTGTGCAGAACTTGTCCTGAGTGTACAACATCCAAGTACCACCAAAGGCCCTGAAGAGCCAGCTCAATGGGAAGAACAAGATCCATGCCATCAACATGTACTCCCTGCAAGTCATCAGATATTCTGCCGGTATAGTGAGCTGACCAAAGGAGGACATGGACGCTGCGGATGTGAAGAGCTGGAAGGTCCTCACAATGTATGGAGGTTCCTACCCCACATCCATCACCCAGAGAGTGTACACCTTACTGTACATCATTAAGATGGCACCCAAAGATGAGATGTTGAGAGAATGCCTGAGGCAGCAGCAGATGTGGGAGGAAGTTCAAATGGAGGAAGTACCATGGCAAGATAAGCCCCTGCATAGGATGTACCATCGACAGATAGCTGAAGTGTCTGACACTGGGAAATCCTACCAGTGGCTGGAAAGGGTTGGACTAAAAGACAGCACTGAGGCATTGATCATAGCAGCACAAGAACAGGCACTAAGCACCAGATCCATAGAAACATGTATTTACCACACTAGGCAGGACCCAAGGTGCAGGTTGTGCAAACAGGCCTCAGAGACAGTCCAACACATAGTGGCAGGATGTAAGATGCAGGCAGGAACAGCATATACTGAATGGCACAACCAAGTAGCTGGCACTGTGCACAGGAACATCTGCACAGTGTACAGGTACTGGCCAATCAACCAGACATCATGTTAGTAGACAAGGATCAGAAGACAGCGGTAGTGATAGCGGTGCCAAGAGACAGCAACATCAGGAAGAAGGAGTCTGAGAAGCTGGAGAAGTCCCAGGGCCTGAAGGAAGAAGTAGAGAGGATGTGGAAAGTAAAGGCCAAAATGGTCCTAGTGGTGGTAGGAGCACTTAGGGCTGTTACTCCAAGCTGGGAGAGTGGCTCCAACAGATCCCAGGAACAACATCAGAGCTTTCTGTGCAGAAGAATGCAGTGCTAGGACAGCAAAGATACTGAGCAGAACCCTTAAACTCCCAGGCCTCTAGTAGAGGACCCGAGATTGAGGAAGGCATGTACCACCCATAGGGGTGAGAG